GTGAGCTTGGCTCAGTGGTAGCACTCTCACCTTTGAGTCACAAGGTTGTGGATGGATTCAAATCCCACGTCAGGATTTGAACTCACAGAGTCTAAGATGGCACTCCAACACTCCAATGCAGTACTGAGAGGTGGGGGTGCATTGTCGGACGTGTCGTCCTTCAGATGAGTCGTCAAACCAAGGTCCCGTCTGCCTGTTCAGGTTAATGTTAAATATCCCACAGGATAATTCAAAAATAGAAGGGAGTTTCTCTCTCCAAGTGGCCGGGCCAACATTCCCCTAAATAAAATCAGTCACTCTTTTCGCAGCTGTTTGTAGGACCTTGCTATAGGCACGGTCGAAGAGGAAGGTCTTCAGGCATGACCTGAAGATGGGGAAAGAGGGGCAAAGCAGAGGCCACCGTTGCACGAGGGACACTCCAAAACACTCCAGTATTGGAAAGAATCCTGTTATGTCTGTGGCATTTGTTCGTCTCACACGATCGCATAACAAGGAGATATCAGCAATAAGTGCTCTGGAGCTTCCAGTGCACCAAACCCTATTTATACACTTGGATTGGGGTAAATGTAGAGGCTTGAGGCTTGGATCATGCACCCTGGGAATCCAGCGCACAGACAGCTGAGGCATAACTGCAGAATGACCTCTGTGATCCCAGCGTCCGTGACTGCAGAGCCATTGGCCTCATTAGCGATCAGTGAGTCGGGCAATGATTGACATCGCCACCTGTGGTGACCTGCAGGGAAATCGATGTGTTATGGTTACAAAGTGTGAATAGTCCAACTGAATCAAAGGCTCTAGGTGTTTAAAATAACATCGGCCACTGAAGCGAGTTGGCTGCCTCACTCACGGCAACCAAAACTTGGACTTGGTTCGAAGGAAGAAGGAAGTTTTCCTTCGACTCCTCAACCTCTCTGGGTTCTCTCTCACACTCACCGAACCAGCGCGCAACCCAGGCGTCTGGCTCGACCCCCAGCTGTCCTTCCTCCCCTACATCCGGTCCCTGACCAGGACTGCCTCTTCTACCTCTGCCACATTGCCCGTCTCCGAACGTACCTTACCCCCGAATGCTGCTGAAACCCTCGTGCATGAGTTTAACACAAGAAATTCTAGACAAAGACCAAAGTCCATCTAGTTCACCTTCCACCTTCCTGGCGGTCGCAAGCACATATGTCCCAAGCTCCCTATGTACTATACCCCATAATGTTATTTCCTGAAAAAAAAACGATCTAATCTGTGTTTGAAAGAAACACTTCCTGTTTCAACCATCTCCCTAGGGGGACAGTTGAAGCAGTCCCATGCATTTGTCACCTCCTGCCTGGATTACTCAAACACACTCCTCGCCGGTCTCCCCAGCTCCACTATTCAAAAGACCCAGCTCGTTCAGAACTCTGCTGCCCGCATACTGACCCGGACCAAACTCTCACCTCGCAAGCGAGGGCATCCGAGTTCGATTCCTGGACAGGGTGAAACCTTTGGCAAGTTTCCTTACTCCACGGGCCTTTGTTTACCTAGCAATAAGTAGGAACTTGGTTGTTAGTAGATTGGCGGATCACTTTCTTGGAGAAGTAACCCCTGAAAAAAAATGTGGTCACTCAATCCGCGATTGTATGTGGGACACTGCTGTGTGTAATTGGCTGCCTCGTTTCGCCCACAAAGTACGGTCAATCCAGTATAATCTGTGACACGTCTGAACGACGTAATAAGACACTATATCAAATGCGAGGATTATTATCATTGTATTATCAGCCGTTTGGAACCAAACCCCAGCACAGGTCACGAGGAGGACAATGAAAAAAAAATCCAAATTCGGCTCTTAGTTACACTGCCCATTAGCTTATTGCATAACCTAAGAAGCAGACCCCTCTAAGAAGGTTAGCTCAATGAGCAACGCCTATTAGAATGAACAGAAGGTTAGTTTGACATCCCGATTCCAGTGAACACAGGGAATTCCATTCTGCCTTTGCAGTGCTTTATTCAAAAAACTGCTCAGCCAACCAGAGACTATATTAAACCACGGCAGGTTTTAGAATTGTTTCTGCTGCCTCATTTAGAGACGTAGAAACAGCAGTAGGCATTTCAGCCCCTCGAGCCTGTTCTGCCATTCTATAAGTTCATGGCTGGTCTGTACCTCAATTCCAATTACCCGCCCTTGCCCCATATCCCTTTATATCCTGATCTAACAAACATCTATCCACCTCAGTCTTAAACATGTGAGGGAGAGAGTTTGGGGGAGAGAGTTCCAGATTTCCACTACCCTTTGGGTGAAAAACTGCCTCCTAAATTTGACTCCTAGCTCTAATGTTAAGATGATGCCCCCTTGTTCTGGATTCCCCACCAGAGAAAATAGTTTCTATGATAGTGGGACAGAATAGAGGCTGCTCCCACTCTCTCTTATCTCTCTTTTCTTCTCATACTGATTTCAACCAGGGCATCAGTGGAGAGATTATGTCAATTGAGTTCAGTTCACCTGAGACAGATTTTACCCAGAGCTTCTCAGTGAATTTTCGGGCTGAGAGCAGAACTTGGCTTGGGTATGAGTTCACCGTGGCCGTGTGGCTTTGACCATCTGAGGACATGTTATGAAAATAGCCACTTGCATGAGGTTACTTCAGCATTTGTCAGTGTCATCAGGGAAAGGGTGGGAGAAAAAACACAATTCATGAAAGGTATAGTGTCATTCTGGATCACTCCTAGATTAATAATCAGCAATATTCTCTCCATTTTGGCAATCCTGATGGACAGGGTAGTAGAGTAAGTGAGCACATTGGCCAGCTGAAGTGCAATTAAATTTAAGCACTTTGGGATTTCCTGTCACATGAAAGGAGCTATATAAAAAATAATAATAATAATTCTTGCATCCTTGCACCTTATAAAGTCATTGAAACACCTCAAAGCGCTTCACAGGATATATATTGTAAAGTGGATTGACTGTTTATTTTGTGGGCAAAATAAATATATAAATGTAAATTTGTGTTGTATTATATTTATTGCACGTGATACAATAATGGCTCTTTAAGTGAAGGACTAGGAGAATGTGCAAAGCACTAAACTGGAAGGTCTCAGAAAAATCGAATTGTATGTTTTAAAGGGAGCTTGATAGATGCTTGGGAATTAAGGCTTTCAATGGATACGGACAAAAAGGTGGAGAAATGGGATTAAAGGATCTGATTATGAACTAACAAAATAGTGGGACAGGCTGAATGACCTTTGTTCCTAACCACTGCCCTGGCTGAAATATGCTGACTTGGTACAGACTAGTCCTGTAGCTCCATTCTCATACTTTACTGATGACTATTCAATCCATTTGACCCCCACAGTGAAGTGATGATGTGACCTTGCCCTACTTGAATGGGAAAGCACACCAGATTGCCATATATTATTGCTTGACAGAGAGAAGGGTATTGTGTTAATCCAACCAAGACCAGAAATAAACAGGTGATGTGATGTGTAGTGGTGAAGGGGCCACTGACTGTATATTACACAGTATATACAGCTGTGCAAAAGTCTTTGTTCTTAACTCAAACTTTTTTTGGAGTGCCTTGAAATCATTGATGTATCTGATATTAATATATTTGCCAAATCATCTGTGAAATGCATCAAGTTCAATTTGCATTTAAGCAGTCTGGGATGCTACTTTGCTCTAGGGGCACTATATAAGTGCAATTTGTTGTTTTCAATGCCAGCAACCACTGTAGATTCTGAGGTAAGGGAATAGGCAAACAATTCATAGGTCTCAGACCATAAGACATTTAGGAGTAAGACCATAAGACCATAAGAGTAGGAGTAGGCCATTCGGCCCCTTGAGCCTGCCCCGCCATTTAATAAGATCGTGGCTGATCTAATCTAATTCCATTTACCTGCCCTATCTCCATATCCCTTAATCCCTCTACCTTTAGAATATGTTCAAAGACTGAGCATCCACAGCCTTCTAGGGTAGAGAATTGGTGAATCATCACCATCAAACTATACAGTGCTCTAGTCAGATCACACCTGGATTACTGCATGTAGTTCTGAAACACAAGGGGGCTGTACAGGCCCTAGAGGCAATGCAGAGGAGAGCAACGTGGATGATTCCCAGTGTCAGAGGAATGAGCTATTAGAACATAAGAATCTGCTGAACGAAAGAAGGCCAAGGTCCATCTAGTTCGTCTTACACCATCCTGGCAGTCGCTTGACATGTCGTGTCCCCAAATTATATACTGCATCTCTGCAATATTATTTTCTAGCAGAAATCTATCTAATTTTTCTAGAAACAAAGAACATTTTCTGCTTCCACCGAGTTCCAAGGGAGCATGTTCCATAAGTGTACGACTTGCTCACTGTAGTAGTGAACTACAGGGGCTCTTCAGTCTTAAAAGGTGACACCTCATAGAGAAGGATAACATTTTAAATGGGATTGAAAAAGTAAACCCAGAACAATACTTTAGGAACGTACTAAGAACAGTAGAACAAGAGAACGTGGGTTTAGAATTACAATGGGCAATTTCAGGACAGACATTGTAGATGGTAATTAATGACTGGAACAAGTTGGCAGGAAGAGTGGTCGAGACATGTTCAAAACCCTCCACAAACAGTCGTGAATTGAGTGACCAAATTTTGTTTTGTTTTGGAGGGATTATTACCGACTGCCAGAAAGTGATCTGCCAATCGACTAATAACCGGGTTCCTACTGACTTAAGATATACTTTATACTGAGACACCAGCTAGAAAATTACTTTACTACTGATCCATTAAGCCTATCTTCCATTCTCTCTGTGTGAGTGTGTGTGTTGTGATAGCTGAATATTTATACCGTCTTGATTCTGATGGTTACACAATCTTTTTCCGTCACGGGAGAATTAGGTAATATTGTGATTTACGTGACATGCTTAAACTTAGCCATCCATGTGACAGTGACAGTGCCACTTGGAAAGCTTGAGGATAGTTCAGCCACTGCTGCTGTCTGGAGTTCAGTTGGCCTTGCTTAATCTTTGCTAATGATGTGCCGTTTTGTGTTGCAGTGTGGCCAAGCTCCGGAACAAGAATCCTTTTGCTCTCAGCGCCCAATTGAGCAGAAGCCCTCTGAACCCTCTCCTTCCATCTCCCGCCAGCGTGCAACTCGCTCAGCTTCACGCTCAGCTCACCCTCCACCGGCTCAAGTTGGCTCAGTCGGCCGTCCACAACAACACAGCAGCTGCCAGCGTCCTGAATCACGTCCTCTCCAAAGTTGCCATGTCCCAGCCTCTCTTCAACACTTTAAGGACCTCCTCGATGCTCAGCCCTACTCACGGGCAGCCTGGCGGGGCTCAGATGACAGTAGGAATTCCTGGCAAGGCCATAGGGCCCGGCGGACTCCAGTTTTCTGCTCAGGCTCCCGGTTTGCCTCCCATGTTAGGAGGAGGCATGAATCTGCAAGTGCCGAACCCGGCTTCCATTGGACTGAACCCCTACGTTGGCCTGGCTCCAGGTCAGCCAGCCACCCAGCCCGGGGATTTCTCCAGCAAGACCAGCGACCGGGAGTACCGGCCGGCCGACGAGGCGCGGCACAATCAGGGTTTCCACCAGTACGGGGCGGTGGGCATCCCGGGCAAAGGCCAGCACTTTGTGCACCCATCACCACACCCTGGGTTCCAGCCGGATTTCCAGGTTCCTCCAACCACGACGGGAGGGCAGCAGCCAGGATGTAGGATGCCAGGTCCTGGTTTCCCGGGAGACAGGAACACCGGGACCTTCCCTCAGAACCCCGAGGTCCTTCGGCTGATGGATTCAGGAGGACAGGGAGTGTGGGCGCCCGAGCAGTGGCACAACTCTGCCCCCTTTGCCCAGCCCAGCGGGGGGCACGAGTACCCAGCTCGCTCCGACAACTGTTGGCCGGCAAAAAGCCGCCCCCTGCCTACCGCCAACGACCTGTACAATCCCGAGGAGCCCACGGGCGAAGCCAAACTCAACCTCAGGGGTGGTTCGCTCTTCAACAGGTTCCGGAATTTTCCGGGCCCCCCGTACGGCCAGAGTGACAATCACTCCCACCTCGTGCCGGAAAGACAGCTCCAGCCTCATGAGCATAATGACTTCCACGGCATCGTTCCATCACAGCTGCCCCACATCTGCTCCATATGCGACAAGAAGGTCTTTAACCTGAAGGTGGGTGGGTACTGCTGTTTCCAGGCCACCTTTGTTCGAGTCGGCCGGGTGTCTGGCTCACCTACGCGGGAACCCAGCTTAAGAGTATCCAAAACCAAACTGAAAATTCCATGTATCCCACCTACATATGGATATTCAGGCTGGACATCGGTGAAGTGATCCAAACACAACAACAGCAGTTTACGTTTACATTTAGCCTTTCACATCAGCAGGACATCCCAGGGATTTGGACCTGAGCTGGGGGTTTGGATCGGGGGGGGCGGGGGGATGGAGGGCGGGGAAGGCAGGGGTAAGGGGAGGGTGGCCGAAGGCACACGGTCAAATAGGAGGGTCTTGAGATGGGCCTTGAAGGAAGCGAGGGAGGGAGGGAGCGACGGAGCGAGGCGAAGGGACTGTGGGATGCAGTTCCAAAGGATGTGGGCAGAGAGGCTGAAGGCCCGACTGCCGAAAGATTGAAACACGAAGGCTCTTATTGCCACTGGTTGCTAAGCAAAGGCCAATTCTGATGTTCAATTGCCTTAGCAACACAATGCCAACACCAGCAGTCTATGCTGCATTGATCAAACCCCTCAAAAACCAAACCCAATCCTCAACCGGTTGGGAGCTGTATTGGAGGACATAGGGATCGACAGAAGCAGGTTTAGTTGAATGAATTAAAGGACCGTTGTGACTCAATGGTTTCTGTGCTGGGTAGTCAGAGGAGAAAGCGCCTCAAATTCCACCTGGTCTTAGCCTGCAACTCCATTTTAACTTAACTTGAGAGCGAGTCGTTTGTAAGAACTGCGGAAGAGTGACTTGGAGACTAAGAAGGCACAGTCAAAGAGGAAGGTCTTGAGATGTGTCTTGATGGAGATAAGGGAGGGCGTGAGGTGGAGGGGCTCTGCCATGGAGTTCCAGAGGGTGGGGGCAGAGAGGCTGAAGGTCCAACAGTCGATGGTGGTGCGAGCAGGGAGGGGGACATGGAGTAGGCCAGTGCCTGCCCAAGTAGGAGAGAAATAGTTGAGCAGGAGGGTGGAAAGATCCCAGGATTACCTCATTTGGCTTCCTATCAAAATCACTGACACTGCCTAAAGTAATGAAGGATACTTCAAGTGCTCAACTACTCTGGATTACGCAAAAAGATAGGATTTTTTTAATGAGGAGGTCCTTAAAGTGTCGAGGGATTAATAGTGTAATGTGAAATCCCATTGACTTTTTTTATTCTCCCTGAATTTGCCGACAAATATACAGCAAATTCACTTTACAGTATATTCTGTGAAGCGCTTTGAGACGTCTAGAAAACGTGAAAAGCGCTATACCAAATGCAAGGATTATTATTATCTCAACAAGCTATTGAATCCCAATACTTTTTTTTCCTGTAATTGAATAAAATAAAGGAGGCCGAACGACTCCAGGATGCATTTCACAAGAGAGGGGGTGGGGGAGGGTGGGGGGAAGAGGGGAGAAGTCCCTGTTACAAGATGGATAACTGTGAGGCCTCCAGAGATGATAAAGCATAAGGTACAACACTGTTTTGGCCAGTGCATTAAGGGGCCAAGTGAGAGGAATGAGAAATGACTCACAAGACAAACAGAGATCTGGGTCAGGTATGTTAAATAATAATCCTTTCATTTGATACAGCGCTTTTCGCATCAGGAGGGTGGCCTCAAAGCTCTTCAGAGGATTTACTATAAAATGCCACGACTCTGCATTTGTAGTTGAATGAAGCAGGCAATTTGTGCACAGCAACATCTCGCAAACAGCCATGAAGTGAATGACAGACTGTTTGCCATTGACAGATTGTGAATGACTCTTTCTGAATGGTGCCACAGCATCTTTAATGTCCACCTGAACAGGCAGGCAGGACCTTGGTGTAAGATTGCATCTGAAGGACGGCATCTCTGACAATGCAACACTCCCCCAGCACTGTACTGGAGAATCAGCCTGGACAATGTGAGTTCAAATCCCATCAGGGGGCTTGGACCCACAACTTTCTGACATGGAGGCGAGAGTGCTGACAACTACATCTATATTACAGTATATGCCTCCTTATGATGGTATATATATAGTATATCTTCTGAAGCGCTTTGAGATGTCCTCCCAGTGTAAGTGGCGCTGTATCAAATGTGAGGATTATTTAGAACATAAAAATCGCGAGACTAAAGAAGCCCAAGGTCCATCAGTTTGCCTTCCACCATCCTGGCAGTCACACGCACATGTCATGTTCCAAACTATATAGTGTATCCCAAGATATTATTTCCTAAGAGAAATCTAATTTGCTTTTGAGAGAATCGACAAATTCTGCTTCCACCATCTCCCTGCACGTTCCATACATTTACTACTCGCTCAATGAAATAATGCTTCTGCAGATTATTATAATTATAAATGATTAATTATTATAATTATACGTCTCCTCCGCAGGACTGGGACCAGCATGTGAATGGAAAGCATCACATCCAAAACTGCCTGCTCTTCTCCGAAAAGTGAGTCACATCATTTGCTATTTTCTGAATATTTATACATTATAAACATATTCTTCCCCGTTTGTTATTATTTTTCTGTGGTGTCCTGTTGCATTTTGGTTAGAGAGCTTACCTCACAAGCGAGAGGACCTGGGTTCAATTGCTGGGCAGGCGAAACCCTAGGCAAGTTTCCTTACTTCAGGCGCCTCTGTTTACCTCGCAGTAAGTAAGAACCCGGTTGTTAGTTGATTGGCAGATTACTTTCCACACATCTGCAGCCAAGAGGGTGAGCTATTGAGCTTTGAGCTTTATTTAAGCAAATATCACCTTGGTTTTACCTTCTTTCTGATTTTACTTTTCTGCCTCTTTGCTCACATCCTCTCTGCCGGTCACCCTGCTGAGATCGCAAACTCCCAAGATGGGGACCTGCGAGATTAGACTATTCCCCCAACCCCACAGCTCTACCATTGGCAACCATGCCTTCAAACCATTAGGCACTGAACCTCTGGATCTCCCTGTCTCAACCCTTCTGCCTTGTCCCCTCTTTACACATTACACCTGAAGACTTTCCTCTTCGATCGTACCTACAGTCACCTTCCCTTTCCCTGGTTCGGCATCAAGCTCTGCCACAGTTAAGCGCTCCGAGATGCTACCACATGCGAAGGGTACTATACAAATGCAAGTTGTTGCTGTTGTCCCACCCCCCACCCACCAACAATAGTTTAACAGATAAAACATTAATATTTTCATCCCCTTGAAAACAGTGGAATTTGTCCACTTGCCTTGCTTCCCGCCACCACAAGTTATGATAATAATAATAATAATAAACCTTGCATCTGATATAGGTTCTTAATATGCTGCTCAGATGTCTCAAAGCACTTATAAAGCTACCTATATAAAGCAACAGATCATTTCCCCACCGCGCACACTAGGAACCCCGAGAGGATTTGGTTGGGTTTATCCAAACAACAACAACTTGCATTTCTTCATGTGGGGTAGCACTTAACAATAGCAGAGTCTGACCAGGGGGAGAGGGAAGGGGAAGGTGACTGTAAGCACAATCAAAAAGGGAAGTCTTTAGGTGGGACTTCGAAGTGGGGAGGGAGGGAGGGGGCAAGGCGGAGGGATTGAGGGAGAGAGTTCCGGAGTTTGGGGGTATAGTGGCTGAAGGCATGGCCACCAACGGCGGAGCGGATGGGACGAGGGACAAACAGAAGGCTGGAGCCAGCCAAAGGGGTTATACGGGTGAGTGTAGACTCGACGTTCTCCGCAGGACTTCACATAACCTTTAGCTGTGCGTTGTGATTTTCATCCTAGTTCAGACATTGGATCATCCAGCTTTCCAAGGCCGGCAAATGGGAGCGTCAACTCTGGTGGACTCAGCACAGGTTCAGGTAACGATTGTCACTCAATACCTTCTTTGAAGTGCGTTCCCCGGTCAGAGTTAAATGTAAACCTCGTGTTCTGTTCCTGTTTGTCCCGGGTACCCTCTTCTCCATCATCTGTGGCCACGCCTTCAGCTACTACTCCCTGAAACTTTAGAACTCTCTCCCTCAATCCCTCCGTCTTGCCCCCTTCCTCCCCCACCTTCAAATCACGTCTAACCACCTTCCTTTTTGATCGTGCTTACGGTCACCTCCCCCCTCCATCTCCTACTGGCTCAGGGTTAGACTCCGCCACCGTCAACCACTCCGGGACGCTACCCCGTGTGAAAGGCGCTATATAAATGCAAGTTGTTGCTGTTTTTACTGAATATTTTGGTGTTTTATATGAAGAAAATTGATATTAAAGGCAAGCCATCTATCTCTGTGACCTCCCACTCCCCAAAAACTCACTCCACCCCACCACTAAGCAACTCCCGTAGCTTAGTGGTTAGAACTAACTCTACACTTTGCTGTTCTCACTCAGTGTTGAACATGAATGAGAGCTGTAGTTTCGTGGATAGAGCACTCTCCTCACAAGCGAGAGGACCTGGGTTTGATTCCTGGGAGGGGCGAAATGTTGGGCAAGTTTCCTTAGTCCACACGCCTCTGTTTACCTAGCAGTAAGCAGGAACCTGATTGTTAGTCGATTGGCGGATCGCTTGCCAGCGGTAATAATCTCTTTTAAAAGAAATGTGGTCACTCAATCCTTGACTGTTTGTGGGACGCTGCTGTGTGCCATTGGCTGTCGCGTTTCACCCACAAAATATACAGTCAACTCACTTTACGGTATATCCTGTAAAGCGCTTTGAGACGTCTAGAAGACGTGATAAGGCACTGTATCAAATGCAAGGAATATTATTATATGCAATACTGATGCTTTGAAGAAAGCTTCCCTCATGTCATCTCACTATAGGGTGTTCGTATCTTTCAGATCTTCCATCAGACATCGTTCAATCTCACCCGACTTGTCCGTCTACAAGGACATTCCTCCAATCGGGTACCAGCTTCTCCTCAGTACCCTCTGGGTTAAAGGTAGGTGTGGATCACGAGACAGTGACCTTATTGCATGACCGCGAGTCACCCTTTCCCCAGCTCCAAATCCTTCCTTTCCTCAACAACAAGTGGTGCCCAACCTCTTTGATTAGCCAACAAAATAATTTTTTCTTGATTGACTACCCTTTGATTTGTGCCCGGCATAAATCTATGTTGTTTTGTTTTTTCAATGATTATTTTGTTGGCCAACCAAAGAGGCTCTTACAGCATCTTAGAGGGGACATCCTATCCTGGGATGTCCTCCCAATGTGAAAGGCGCTTTAGAAATGTAAATTTGTATTTTTTTAAAAAAAACAAAATGTATATTTATTTAGAGATGGAATATATATTTACACTTTTCTCAAAGGAAATGATTCCCGTGACAGAAAGAAGAACGAAACTCATTATTGTCCTGTTAAGGACGGAAACAGGAGGCCAAGAGATCTCAAGCGCTTAATAATAATAATAATAATCCTTACATTTGATATAGCGCCTTATCATGTCTTCTAGACATCTCAAAGCGCTTCACAGAATAGACTGTAAAGTGAATTTATGTATATTTTGTGGGCGAAACACGGCAGCCAATAGCGCACAGCAGTGTCCCACAAACAGTCGTGGATTGAAGTGACCAAATTATTATTATTTTTAAAAATGTATTTATTGTTTTGAAGGGATTATTACACCCGGAAAAGCCATCCACCAATCGACTAACAACCGGGTTCCTACTTGGTAAACAAAGGCGTGTGTAATAAGGAGACTTGCCCAACGTTTCGCCCTGTCTGGGAATCAAACCCAGGTCCTCCCGCTTCAACATTGAGTGTGTAAACACACAGTGCCCATTGGTTTGCAAATAAGATCCACTTTCTCAACAGTTCCTTAGCAGCCTCAAATGTAGAGGGCATTGAGTTACGTAATTGTCAAAAGAGCAAAGAGAGAGGTTCAGAGGTTGGAACAACAAGAAGAACTTGTAGCGCCTTTCATATCAGAATTCCCTCACCCAGAACAATGATTGAGGCAGAATACATATTCACGTTTAAGAAGGAGTCAGATAAATATCTGAAAGATAAAAGAGTATGGGGTAAAGGCAAGTGTACTAAATAGACAGCACTTTCAGAGAGACAACACAGCACAGGCACAATGAGCTGACTTGCCTCGTTCTGTGCTGCAAATGTCTACAGGTTTCAATGCTTTATTTTTCCCCCCCTTTTTTAATGAAAGAAAGGAGCTTTACGACGTTAGAAATGCATCGCCATGCTGTTTAGGTCAAAATATCACATGAGCTGTTATCCATTGCAAAGAGTGAGTCGGTGTTTCCAAGCCGTTTTTATGATCAGCTGTATCTTTTTATGGCATGGCGTTAAACAACTACAGAGAGAGATATGCTATTTATAACTTGATCATGTTCGATAGAGATATGACTCCCTTGGATCCTGTAATAGTTTGAGTATGGTGCTCATGTTTTTACAACGCTTTGGCAGTGAACTTAAGTACCGTACTTTTTCACACTCGCTTTTCCAAGGGCAGAAAAGCTAAGCTGTTCCACGTTGCTCCCGCCAGCTATGCCTTAAGTTTCCTGAAAGTGGGAGAGAAAGAACCTGGATTTTTTATCGCACCTCATTACATCAAAACATCATCTCAAAGTGCATTACAGTAAATACATTCCAAAGCCTTGACCTTTGGATCGACGTGTTCTTGGTCAGCCTGATACATGCAGAAACTCATTGCTGTGCTTTAAGGTATCCAAATCCAGACTGATCACCCAAAAATGTGTGACATCTATACGTGGGAATTTCCCTGCATCTGGAATGGATACAGCCCTTCGCAAGGGATGTTAAAATGTCTGTCTGTTTAGGTGGGCATTAAAGATCCCGTGGGATGAATTGAAAAGAAAAGGGAGTCTCTCTCTCTCTCTCCTGGTGTCCTGACCAACCACCCTCCACATAAAACTGTCCGTTCACTTCATAGTCCTGTGGCTCAGTGGTTAGAGCACTCGCTTTGCAAGCGAGAGACCTGAGTTCAATTCCAGGCAGAGGGCGAAACCTTGGGCAAGTTTCCTTACTCCACACACCTAATAATAATCCCTCCAAAAACAAAACAATAATAAATTGGTCATTTTCAATCTACGACTGTTTGTGGGACATTGCTGTGCGCAATTGGCTGCTGCGTTTGCCCACAAATATACAGTCAATTCACTTTACAGTGTATTCTGTGAAGCGCTTTGGGACGTCCTCCCGACATGAAAAGCGCTATATCAAATGCAAGGATTATTATTATTATTTTAGTTGTTTGTGGGATAACCGTGGCTGTGGCCAAATTGGCTGTGGTGTTTGTTTGTCCACCAAACACACAGTCGCTGCAATTACTCTGTGAACTGTGATTTATCTGGAGGAAAGTTGTTCAGGACAACAATAACAATAAACCTTGCATTTGATACAGTGCCTTATCACGTCTTCTAGACGTCTCAAAGCGCTTCACAGAATATACTGTAAAGTGAATTGACTGCATATATTTTGAGGGTGAAACGCGACAGCCAATTGCACAGAGCGCATTTGATATAGCGCTTTATCATTCCACAGAATCAAACAGAAAGCGTTGTTTTTTTGTTTTAAAAAAAACCCCTAATGACTGCAAATTCGTTCAGTGCTTATACGCCAGCTGAGGACGGCCTTCAGTTCACTCCGAAACGTTGAAGATATTTTATCTGATCGACTACAGAAAAGGTCCCTTTAACTCTAACCCCTGAAAAACGAGAGTTGATCTCCTTCACACGGTGCTTTCCCAAGTCCTAAAATCATTAATTATCTGATAATAATAATAATCTTTGCATTTGATATTGCGCTTTATCATGTCAAAGCGCTTCCCAGAATATACTGCAAAGTGGAGTGACTGTATATTTTGTGGGCGAAACGCGGCAGCCAATTGTGCACAGCAGCGTCCCGCAAACAATTGTGCAATGAGCGACCAAATTGTTTTTAAAAAGGAAACTTGCCCAACGTTTCACCCTGCCAGGAATCGAACCCCAGTCCGCTTGCTTGCGAGGCAAGTGCTCTAACCACTAAGCTACAGGTCTTCACAGTGAGAGAAGCTCCCCAGTTACGGGGTGTCCATTTTGCCAACTGTGTTCAGATGCAATCTACTTTTAACAGGATTCTTTAATGAGGAAATCCTGGTTTCCTTACCGCACATGCCTCTGTTTACCTTGCAGTAAGTAGGAACCCCACTTACCAAATAAATTTGGTCACTCAATCTACGGCTGCTTGTGGGATGCTTCCGAACGCAATTGGCTGCCGTATTTCACCAGAAAATCTACAGTCGATTCACTTTATAGTATATTCTATGAAGCGCTTTGAGACGTCTCGAAGATGTGATAAGGCGCAATATCAAATGCAAGGATTGGTCAACGTGCAGTTAAAAAGAACATATGGTATAAAACTTCGTAGATAGCTTTTAAGGGTTTATTTTAGTAAAACACATCAGCATAGCAGTAACACAACTATTCTGCACATCTGAAGAACTTTAGCCTCGTGTTTCTGTGTCACAAAACATCTGCTGATAACTCAAAAAAAACATAAAGTTAGCCAGGCCACGAAGCATGTAAATACTGGAACCGCTGTCACTCTTAGGATTTAAGAGAGACATTTCTCAGCGCTATTGTGGGCCCAGCGCTCACAAATAAAATGAGAGCTTCACATATTGACCGACAGACAGAATTGTCTTTGACACCATCGCAAATAGCACGGGCGAGCGTTGGCTCAGTCTTCTGTGGAAATGTTTTTTTTTCTGCATGTGTCTGTAGATCAGATTTTACTACAGGCCTCAGCAGCCGCTGGAGTGTGACACTCTTCCCTCCAGTTCTGCAAACACCATCAATGGATGTAAAGCTGCGAGCAGCTGCCACACAGACTGTGAAACAACTCTAAAGTCAGCACAACACCCTCTCGTGTTACTGCTCAGGGCTTGGGAACCGTCTGTTCCTTCCATTCTATCTATCCACCCACCCACTCACTCACCCTCCCACCCACTCCATCATACATAATGTGGAAGACCAACGAGTGCTCTTTAAGGACTGATTCAAGTAAATGTATTGGATCTGTCTTCACTTGGCCTCGTGCAACTGAACAATTTGGTATGTGCCATTCAATTGAACCAATGGGGAGATGAGGGGAAACAGAGAGGTGAGGTCTGATGTCTGGTAAATGGAAAGTTAGTCAGCAAAGAGCTCAGGTTTCTGGGAGACCGATTGATTGACTGACTGACTGACTGACTGAATGATTACTGGCTGAAAGACGACATGTACCTTGTTTCCAAAAATGATGATGTTTTCCTCCAAGGTGGGAATTGAAACCAAAGACTTGTGACCTCTCCAGCACACATTACATAAAAGATGGAGCCCTGTAGTGTAGTGGTTATAGCACTTGCCTCGCAAGCGAGAGGACCTGGGTTCCATTCCCGGGCAGGTCGAAACGTTAGGGAGGTTTCCTTACTCCGTATGCCTCTGTTTACCGAGCAGTAAGTAGGAGCACGATTGTTAGTCGATTAGCGGATCGCTTTTCAGGGAATAATAATCCCTTCCAAAACATTTTTTAAAAAAAATAATAATTTGATCACTCAACCCACGAGTGTTTGTGGGACGCTGCGGTGCGCAATTGGCTTCCGCGATTCGCCAACAAAATATACCGTCAATTCATTTTACAGTACACACTGTGAATCATTTTGAGACGTCTCGAAGAACGTGATAAGGCGCTGCATCAAATCCAACAGCTATTATTGTTACTCGTCCTTCCACTTCGGGCACTTTGTGATTTTCCATGGCGGTCAAAGTTTCAAATGTGCTAAAAAGAAAATACTCTCTCAAAGAGCACAGATGTCATCTATTACCCTGCGTGCGAGCGAGAATGTCGACTTGTGTAAACATTGTTACACAAGAGGCCCCCTTGTTTCATGCCAGCTAGTTGACAAGTGGACAGATTAAACCCACTGGGATTTCCAACATATGTTCTTTAGCTGGATTTTTGCAGTGAAGTTGCTCATTGCGTTTGCTGAGGCTGCATTAAGTTCTTATTTAGCGCTTGGAATTTTTTTTAAAGAATGCTGACTCCTTATTGAGAATTTATTTGCAGACAAGGCTTTCTCACAGTCTAAGCTTGGCGAGGATGAGGAATAAATCCTTTCAATTTTTAAAAGGGATGAAACCTCAGGCAAGTTTCCTTTCTCCACACGCCTCTGTTTACCCAGCAATAAGTAGGATCCCAGCCGTAAGTCGATTGGCGGATTGATGATTTTCCATGAGTGATAATCCCTTTAGATAAACAAATAAATAAATTGGTCACTTCAATCCATGACTGTTTTGGGACTCTGCTCTGTTTTCCCCACAAAATATACAGTCACTTTACTTTACGGTGTATCCTGTGAAGCGCTTTGAGATGTTTCGACAACGTGTTAAGGCGCTCTATCAAATGCAAGGATTATTATTATTATTGATACAGTGCCTTTTACAACACTTGCCTTTCTCAAAGCGCTTCACAAGATTTACTGTAAAGTTGTAATGACTGTGTTATTTGATGGGCAATGGATGCCTCACTCCCCCATGCCTTCTCTCTCCCTCACCACTCCACTCCACTTGATTGGAGTGGGACGATGCCTGGGTGGGTGGTGCGAGCTATATAAATGCAAGCTGTTGTTGTTGCTGCTGGAAACTCACCATTTGCTATGTGCGTCCTTACCACTCACTTGGCCGAGCTATTGCCACAGGCCGTGCTTGGTGGCACCCTGCCATGTCCAAGCAAGCCAGCCTTGCTGAAGCTAAGCTGTCCTCATGTTGCTGAGACTTTCTTTCTGAGCAAGAAAGAAATGGATCAGCATACACTGTTGTAGCATCAGAGAGATCTGATGATATCTAATGTTGCAGCAATGAACGTCCTGGAGTAGTGCAAGCCTGATCGATAGAGTAATAAATAGGTGGCAAGTATGTTTCACCCAAAAAAGGGGGTTCTCTGAGTAATAATAATCCTATAATTAACACTTGCATATGACATAGCGCCTTATTATGTCATCAAAATGCTTCGCAGGATGTGCGGTCGAGTGGTGGCAATGTGTGTGTTTTGTGGACGAAATTCAGTACAGTAATGGCCTCGGTAAATTTGCTACAATAACATAGAGCGCCCCTCACTCAGGGCAGCGTCTAGGAGCGTTTAAAAGTGGCGGAGCCTGACACCGAGTCAGGGGGAGGGAGGAGGTGATCGTAAGCACGGTCAAAGAGGAAGGTCTTCAGTTGTGATCTAAAAGAGGCAAAAGGAGGGGGTAAGGCGGAGGAATCAGAGGAGAGAGTTCGAAAGATTCAAACTCTCCTTACCTCCCAGCTCCACCTCCTCACCCCTCTACTCTCTGACACTATCAATCTTTCCCTTTCATCTGGCGCTGTTCCCAACCCCCTAAAAACAGCTACAATCACCCCCGTCCTGAAAAAACCTTCCCTGGACCCACCCCTGCCTTCTAATTAGCGGCCCATCGCCAATTTCTCTTTTCTCTCAAAGGTCCTTGAAAACGTCGTTGTTTCCCAGCTTCACTCATTCCTTTTCTACCACTCCCTTCATGAGCCCCTCCAATCGGGTTTCCGTGCTGCTCACACCATCCATGCCATGACCCACTCTGCCTTCCCCTGCCTCCGCAACGTTGTCCGACTCCGCCATTGCCTCACTCCTCAGGCCGCCGAAACCCTCATACATGCATTTGTCACCTCAAGGCTCGACTACGGAAAATCCCTCCTTGTCAACCTCCCCACCTCTTCCCTTCATAAGCTGCAGATCATCCAGAACGCTGCAGCTCGTGTCCTCTCCCGCACCAGGCTCCATGACCCCATTACCCCACCCTCGCCCGACTCCACTGGCTCCCCATCCCTCAGAGGATAGAATTCAAAATCCTCATCATCAATTTCAAGGCCCTCCACAGCCTTGCTCCCTCCTGCTGACTTGCTGATCCCCTATCAACCTGTCCTCTCCTTCCATTCAGCAGCCTCCTGCCTGCTCCAGGTCTCCCGCCCGACCCGCCCTTCCATCGGCGGCCAGGCTTTCAGCCTCTCCGCCCCCACTCTTTGGAACTTTATCCCACAATTCCTTTGCCTCGCTCCCTCTCTTGCCGCCCTCCTACACCCTCTGCCCTCCCTCATCTCAACCCTCCCCCCCAAGGCTGGGGTCCTGATCCCTGACTGTTCAGTGCCTTGGGACATCCTCCTACTGTGAAAGGCGCTTTACAAATGTAATTTTGTTGTTGTTGTTGGAATAGGGGGAAGTACAGTCTAGCTCATTGGCTGACTGGCTGGAAGGGCAGACAAGCCACTGGGGGCAGAGATTCTTCCCATTTGACTCCTATTAACCCTTCAAGCCAAAGCCCTGATGGCTAGGGTGGTCCTCGCTAGACAAGCAGCGGGAAAGCTTGCCAGACAGTGATGTCAATGGCAAACTATGTGGTTTTAGCTGGTTAGAATCCAGCTGTTACCCCAATGCATACTCTGGGGTCTCTAAGCCATGGCTCTCGCCAACCTACACCTAATACTCTCCAGAGTTAGGTAAGCAGAGTGTGTCCCTCCAGGGAGAGGGTGTGCATTTTATTCCAGACACTGGGAAATTTCCATGCGTAGGTTGCATACATACATGGAACATGGCTCAGTCTGGTTTGGATACTTGTAAGCATGGTGATGGCTTTCTACATGGGAATTTCCACCTGTAGGTGGGGTACAATGACCTCTCAGATATTTTCACCAGTGCAGATAATAATAATAATAATACTTGCATTTGATATGGTGCCTTATCACGTCGTTGAGACGTTTGCACAATATATTGTGAAGTGAATTGACTGGCTATTTTGTGGGCAAAACGCGGCAGCCAATTGCACACAGCTGTGTCCCGCAAACAGTCTTGGATTGAGTGAACAAATTATTATTAATTTTTTTTAGGGAGGGATTATTACCCCCGGAAAGCGATCTGCCAATCGACTAACAGCCGGGTTCCTGCTAACTGCTCGGTAAACAAAGGAGGGTGGAGTAAAGAAATTTGCCTAACGTTTCGCCCTGCTGCCCGGGATTCGCTTGCGAGGCGAGTGCGCTAACCACTACGCTACAGGACTCCACAAGACATATGAAGAAGTCCCACTTTCCTCTACAGTTATTCCTTTGTTTGCTCAGTTTCCACAGAGGAAATCTGGTCCCAGTCGGGTTGTTCACATCTGCAACATCCCTGAAGGAAGCTGTACCGAGAGTGACGTCATCAATCTGGGCCTTCCCTTCGGCAAAGTCACCAACTACATCCTCATGAGGGCCACAAGTCAGGTGTGCAAACAACAGCAACAACTTAATAATAATAATAATAATAATAATCCTTGCATTTGATGTAGAGCCTTATATATTAGAAGACCCTCCTCTTCGACCATGCCTTCGGGCACCTTCCTATCCTCCCTGTCCATCCCCCTGATCTCAACCCCCAACTCGGGTCCAAATCCCTGACTGTCCAGCACCTTGGGACATCCTCCCGACGTGAAAGGCTCTGTGTAAATGTCATTTGTTGTTGTTATTATCATGTTCCACTCACGTGTTGGCACCTTCTACGAAGAACTTCACAAAGACGATGGGGATCACAGAGCAGAGGGGAAAGGAGGTGTGGGGGGAGTATGTGGGTGTTGACTGAAGGAGTGGTGAAAGAAGCTTTTCAGAGGGTTTGAAAGCAGGCAGAGAAAGATCCCTTTTTGAACCGTACCGTGGGATCTTTAACATCCACATTCTCCGTTCATGCGTCCAGCCCCGCATTGTAACATCAGCTTAGATTGTATGGGTTTCAAGTCCTGACATAGGCTTAAACCCACACCATCTGACTCAGAGGTGAGAGCGCTGCCAACTGAGACGGGCTGAATCACACGGAAGAGTTCCAAAGAGTTGGGGGTGTGGGGGTAAGTACGGGTTGAAGGCTCGGCCACTGGTGATGGCACAGGGGGAGCCGAATCTGAAGCTGATCCAGTTGTCTCTGTCACAGGCCTTCTTGGAGATGGCTTACCCTGAGGCAGCACAAGCAATGGTGCAGTTCTACCAGCAGAAGCCCCCGGTCTTCAGCGAGCAACAGCTACTTGTCCGAATGTCCAAGCAGTACAAGGAGCTGAAGTTAAAGGTAAGGAAGCCCAATGGGCCTTTTTCTGTTTGTTTACTGGGAGATTGTTGACCAGAACGACGTTCAATTGCCACAAAGAGCGAGAGCAAAAATGTAGTGCCTACCACTGAAAACATCTGAGGGTTTATATACAATATTCAAACGGAGATTTGACAAGTTGCTGCTGTTTTTGACAGAGATGAGAAGATTAAGGGGGCATTTAATACAGACTTTTGTAATTATGAATATAGTTTTCAGTGAGAGGGGAGAGGCACAGAAGAGAGAGAGAGAAAGAGAGAAGGAAATGCTAAAAAGCTCAAATGAATCTGAGGTCAGTGAGGTGGGGGGTTTGGGACAGCCTGGCTATAGATTTTGAGAATCTTGCTAATAGCATTATAGAATTAGTTTAGACAGAAGGTGTTTTTGAAGCTCCATCCGGAGGAAAATCTCTAATTCTCCACCACTGCACGCCCATTCCCCATGCAAACCGATTTCAAAATAACTGGTGAAAGAACCAGAGGGGAGATGAGGGAACATAATTTAATGAAGTGAGTTGTTATGATCTGGATTGCTCTTCCTGAAAGGGTGGTGGAAGCAGATTTGATAACAACTTTCAAAAGGGAATTGCATATAGAGTTGGAAAGAAAAAAAAAGTGCAAGGCTATGGGGAAAGAGCGGGGTTGGGGTGGAGGGTGGGGGAGCGTACTTGGATGGATGGCTAGAGCCGGCACAGGCACAAAAAGCTGTCACAGGTACGAACGATGGACCGAATGGCTTCCTTCTGTGATGTAGGACTCTATGATTCTCCTCTTCCTACCGAGACCGGTGGACACCATGTCAAACACTTTGCCACAATCTAGAGCTTGTGCCTCGCATTGGCAATAGGCAAAACTACCAGCTGACAATCAGAACAACTGGCACTTACACAACCATTTCATCTAGAATGAACGTCTCAAAGCGCTCAAGAAATCATGACAGGGAGCACCGTTGCAGGTGAGAGGGAAGAATTTGGGATGTTGACCAAACGTGCTTGGTCAATACAATGTTCTTGGGAGGGTCTTGAAAGAGAAAGTGAAACAACAACAACAAATTATATTTACACAGCGCCTTTCATGTCGGGGAGGGTAGGGGTCGGAGGGTGTCCAAAGGCACACGGTCGAAGAGGAGGGTCTTGAGATGGGCCTTGAAGGAGGCAAGGGAGGGAGGGAGCGAGGCGAAGGGGACCGTGGGATGGAGTTCCAAAGGGTTGGGGCAGAGAGGCTGAAGGTAAGCAGAGGAGTTCTGGGAGCCAGGGTGCTCGGCCACTGATAGAGAGACCGAGGAGAGGAGACAGGAGCAGCAGACTAGAATCAGAAGGATATCTCATGCATTGAAGGCAAACCTCAACTTGGATGACAAAAAGTGTGCTTTATGTGCCACAAGGTGGCGGAGAAGAGACAGTGTTTTTGATGAGCTAAAAGGAAGGCAGGAATAGAAGTGACAGCACATAATATAATAATATTTGCATTTATAAAACAGGATTTAATGTTTTCACCATGAATTGCAAATATCGTTTGCCATAACATCGCCATTTTCAATCTGTATCCTTTAATTATTTCTTAGAAACCGGGAAAGAATGTCGAATCAATCATCAACGACATTAATTCGCAAAGGGAGAGGGAAGTATACAAAGACTTGGACAGGTAAAACGCTTCCATTGAACAATACCTGAGCAGAGACGTAATTCAAAATCACTTTAATTGTGGCACACTGTTAATGAGTCCGGTTGTTTGCTTGCAGCCAAGTGTGGCTAAGGTTACAATGGAATTTACGATGATTCCTACAGCTTAGTGGTTAGGGGACTAGCCTCACAAACGTGAGAACTTGGGTTAGATTCCTGGGCAGGGCAAAACATTGCTTAAGAACCGCCTAACAACCGGTCCTACTTACTGCTCAGTAAATAGAGGCATGTGAAGTAAGGAAACTTGCCCAAAGTTTCCACCCTGCCTGGGCATTGAACCCAGCTCCTCTCGCTTGCAAGGCGAGCGCTCTAAAGATTACGCTACAGGACTCCTCGTCATTGAGATACCTCGACGTTGATGAAGGTTGGAAGGGGTTGCAGAGACGTTGACTGCCTCTCCTCATCTTCTGGAATTGTCCTAATTTGCGCCATTTCCTAACGTAAATGCTCAACAATGAATGGGATGACTGAGCTCCTTCAAGCACATGACGTTGAGTTATAGGGAACTCCATTCTGCTTTTCAATTAGACACATTTCACACATGCTCTGGACTGTGATCACATTCAAGCTGCAGCTACTGGTGTGCTTGTTTTGTTGGTTTTCACATGACTGGGTTTCTCTGCTCTTAATTCTGGCAAAGCTTATCCAAGGCCAGGAGCTTCTCAGCATTGTCTCTTCCTTGGATTTTAATCGTGTGTTGCATTTGCAGTGCCTTTTTTTTAACCATTAGATTCATCTCTTTATGTTGCTCAGAATATTCTTGACTCACTTTTGTAGATTAATCACTTCCAAAAAAAGTAGACACGTTCACAGTGCATTCAAAAGTCTCTAAATAATAACAGGCCTTGTGCTTCATACCATACCTATAACGACAAAAAGCACTTGGAAAGGAATTTCTGTAAAGTGTTCTGTGTGCAAATTTGCTGCAGCTTTGACCTACATTGAGTATTTGTCGACTAATAATGTGTGTACTCATAAACACGCATGAAGTGGCTGGTCTAAACCATACAGACTAATCCATACAGAATTAATTGCTATCAACATCTCCATTATTGTGGCATTCAACTACCGGGATGGTAGAGGGCGGACTCGATGGACCTTGGTTTTTTCTTGTCTAGCAAATCCTATGTTCCTAAACGAATGACCAATTGTTTTCTGGAATAATATTGGGCAATGGCACCGAGGGAAAATCTCTTCTGTGTTCAAATAATGTCATGCTAAACCTTCATGACCCAGAGGCGAGAGGCCTACCTACTGAGACAATCTGACACCTCTTTGCAACCAAATTTCAAGAGTGTTGGCCTCAAATAATGATCACCCCCCTTGAGAGAAGCAACTGAATTAATTCAACCTCGGGAGAAATTATAGCAGGAGGAACTGACTTGAGACAACAATAACAACAAAATTACATTTGTACAGCACATTTCACGTCGGGAGGACGTCCCAAGGCACTGGAAACAAACTCATTTCACCCTTAACTCTGTTAAAAACAACAATAACTTATAATAGTATTAATCTTTGCTTTGATACAGCACCTTATCACATCGTTGAGACATCTCAATAGTGCTTCACAGAATATATTGTAAAGTGGATTGACTGAATATTGACTGAACAGCAGTGTCCCACAAACACGTGAAGGATTCTTTTTTGAGGGATTAATGCCCCAGGAAAGAGATCCGCCAATCAACTAACAGATGGGTTCCTACTTAATGCTGGATAAACAGAGGCAGTGGAGTGAGAAGTTGACTAAGGTCTCTCCCTGCCCGGGAATCGAACCAGGGTCCTTTCGCTTGCAAGGCAAGCGACCTAACCACTATGCTATGTGATTCCTCTTGGTTCTATATTGTACCCTATATTGCAGTGTCTCAGAGCGCTAAAAATGCAGACGATAAAGAAAGGACGCTGTATTTATTACATCAGTTTGGGTAGAATTCAAAGGGAACCTGGGTCAATATGATGGCGAATGATTTTGTGGATGCTCGTTTCAAATTGCATCGTCTCTCACACTCATTCCCTGCTACAGATTTCCAGAAGAACGGACCAGATCCCGCAGCCCCCTCGCCCGTTCATCAAGCCCTTGGATGGAATCCCACAGCCCAAGTTTCGCTTCCTGCAGTTCCTCCCAGCGTTCCTCGATCAGCCCCCGCCGGACTAATCAGAGCCCCAAGGCAACCAGCAGAGGGGAGCGCAACAACGGGACGGAACAAAGAGGGTCATGGGAATATCTCGCTCACACTGGTAGGAGGGAGGAGGAAAAGGAGGACTCGATATCAAGGAGTTACGGAGAGGAGAGCAGAGACAGAACTGACAAGTGGGGACATGACAGGAAACAGCATTCGAAATCCAGTGCAAGATTGAGTCCGAAGTCACTGGAGGATAGAGGGGACGCAGCCCACAGGCAGAAGGATAAACATGTCAAGTCCAGTCCAGTTCCATTTCAAGCCAAGTACAAGACCCGGAATGAAGAGGATTACAGGAAGGAACACAAGCTTAAATCAACGAGGAGCCAGCATTCGCCGAGGTCCAAAGGGAAAGAGAGTGAGTTTCCGCTGCGATCAGGCAACAGGGGAACTTCAACGAGCCAGGATCAAACTGAGAACAGGAGTGAACACGATAGCCATAGATCCCCAGTTCACGCAAACAGACTGCGTAGAAGCATTGAAAAGGACGAAGGGAGAGCATGCGACAGACACAGACAATTCAAAGGTGAAGGGGGAATGTCCGGCAGTGAGGTAAGAAAGACATTCTTCATGTCCGTTTGCAATTCCTTGTCTTTTTCAGGTGACCAAACCCAGCTCTGGCAACCCCTAGGATGTTAACGCTGTTGCCTGTGATCGTGTGAAATCTCTTAAAGGGAATATTTTTTTAACCATAGGCAAGTTTCCTTCCTCCACACACCTCTGTTCACAGTGGGTCATTGCTGTGCGCAATTGGCTGCCGTGTTTCGTCCATAAAATAAAACAGTCGATTCAGCTTTGAGACCTCTCGACGATGTGATTAGGCGCTATATCAAATGCAAGGATTATTATTATGTATTAAAAATGTCATTTTTGTCGGACGATGCGAATCTCTGAAGGGGTTAAATCGAGCTGTGTGTGGCATTGAAGTGCGGTGTGCCCTCTGAACAAAGCTCGGGGCAATGTGAGAGTCATGTGTGGAATGCAATTACCGTGTTGAGCTCTGCAGAATGGAGCGGTAGATTGATCTGCTGCTGTTCCTCCTTCAAGGTCAGGACAGTTTTAAGAGCCTGTTAATATAAAGAGGATCTGAAAGTGGGGCAAAACTGAACGGGATCCTGTGGAATGAATGGGATTGTTCACAACAGCTCTGTTGGAAGAGCGATAGACCGACGGCCTAAGGTTTCCCAGGGCAAGGAACAGCAACAACAACAACAAGATTACATTTGTATAGCGCCTTTCACGTCGGGAGGACGTCCCAAGGCGCTGGACAGTGTATAGCATTTCAGACCGGAGCTGGGGTCAGGGGGGGCGGAGAAGGGAGGGGAAGAGGGGGGGGGTGGGGCGGGGGGGTGACCGATTTAAGGAACTAATGATTTGAGGAAGCCTGTATTTAAGGTTGAACTAAGGTTCTGTGGCCTCCTGCACTGTGACAGCTACGAGTAATTAACAGTCTTTTCTTTCTCAATATTTTCTCATGTTCTTGTGAAATTGTTTGACTTGCAACAATGAGGATTGTTGTTCCAAACTGCATGTTGGTTTGGTGCGGCGAAATACTCAACAGCAAATTTCCTTCTGGTGTTAGAAGCCCTTTGAGGGTTCGGTCCTTTATTCACCATTTCCTACATTAATGTAAAGGTTCTAAGCGCTGAGACCAATTTTTACTTCTATAATTATTCTCTGCTATTGAAACGACTGCTTTCTGATGCACCAAGGCATTGGTTTAGAGTTTGCAAAGGGCAATTACAGCACAGGCACCTGTAAGTATCTCTTTACTCAGAGGTTAATTAACGACTGAAATGGGTTATTGCAACAACTACAACAGCAACAACTAATTCCTGTGGAGTCCTGTAGCATAGTGGTTAGAGCACTCGCCTCGCAAGCCAGGGGACCTGGTTTCGATTCCCAGGCAGGGCAAAACGTTGGCCAAGTTTTCTTACTCCACACGCCTCTGTTAACTTAGCAGTAAATAGGAACCCGGTTGTTAATCGATTGACGGATCGTATTTCTGGGGATAATAATCCCTCCAAATAATAATAATAACTATTTTGTCACTTCATCCACGACTGTTTGTGGGACGCTGCTGTACGCAATTGGCTGCTGCGTTTCGCCCACAAAATATACAGTCAATTCACTTTACAGTTTATTCTGTGAAGTGCTTTGAAACATCTCGAAGACATGATAAGGCGCTGTATCAAATACAAGGATCATATATTATAATCTCATACTTACCTGGACCAAACTCCGTACCCACGTCTCACCATCTGGCCAGGCTCCACTGGCTCCCCATCACCTCATGGATTGACTTCAAGATCCTCACACTCATGTTCAAATCCCTTGACTCTCTGGCACCTCCCTCCCTCTCCGACCTCCTCACTCCCCAATCCACCAGTCTGCGACTCCGGTTGACTGGCGCCGGCCTCCTGCTCGTCCCTCTCACCCTCTGCCCCACCATCGGAGGTCGCGCTTTCAGCCACTACGCCCCGAAACTCTGGAACACTGTTCCTCAATCCCTCCCCTCTCTCACCCTCTTTCAAGTCTCACCTGAAAACTTTCCTCTTCAACTGTGCTTATGACCATCCCCCCCCACCCAGCTCAGAGTCAGGCTCCGCCACTGTTAAGCGCTCTGAGACGCTACCCTCCATGGAGGGCGCTATATAAATGCAAGTTGTTGTTATTGTTGTTATATAATTGCATTTATATAGCACCATTCACATTGTGTCCGACTGTTGAATTTGGGAGGGACGAGGTTACCAGGAAGACACTGGACTCATTTAAAAAAAAAACACACCTCGATGCTGTGGTAGGAAAACGATAGGGTAGGTGTTCTGGAAGGATGAGATCAGTTGGGCTGAAACGGCCTTTCTTTATCTGAACCGTACTTGTGATGCTGTTTTTTGTGACTGTTTGTATTTTCAAGCAAAGCACTGTTTTGCTGTGTATTTTATTTATTTTATTTTTATTGAACAAAGCCACTGTACTTGCAGGCGGAGGAGGAGGCTGGGAACAGGTGCTGTAGCAAAGAGTCCTTCTCATCGCCTCTCAGCCAAAGAGGATCACATGAACTAATATTGGAGCAAAACACAAACCAGCAAGTAAGTGATTAAATGCTTACTGGAACGATGATTCCAGGACACTCTGATACCATCCAATAAGTCAAATGAATCAAACTATTTCCTGGGGCAGGGCAAGTTTCTTTACTCCACACGCCTCTGTTCACTTTGCAGTAAGTAGGAACCCTCTTGTTAGTCGATTGGCAGATCATTTTCTGGGTGTAATAACAACAACAAAATTACATTTGTACAGCGCCTTTCACGATCCCTTCGTTCAAATAAGCAAATCAAAAATAATAATAATAATTTGGTCACTCAATCCACGACTGTTTGTGGGACACTGCTGTGCGCAATTAGCTGCTGAGTTTCGCCCACAAAATATACAGTTAATTCACTTTACAATACATTCTGTGAAGTGCTTTGAAATGTCTCAAGGATGTAATAAGTGCTATATCAAATGCAAGGATTATTATTATTAATATTATTATAGCACACTGTCCAGGACCCTGTATATCTATTCAATTTGCAAAAGAGCAAATCTTATCCCTCTATCATAAAAACAAATCTTGCTGTAAATAACAACACACTGGGCAGTTTCCTAATTGGAACTGACCAACAGAGATCTGTTTATAGTTATAATTGTACAATAATGATATCAAAGGACATCTTATTTTTTTGAATGATATCTTCTTCCGACATAGAGTCCCACGTGGGAAAGTGGAAGTGAGGCGGAGGGAGAAGGATGGTATCAATGCAGGATGGAAGAGTTCGTAACAGTAGACGAGGTGGGGGGAGAGGAAGAGCACTCGATGGAAGTAGAGGCTGAGAAATTGGAGATCAAGGAGAGTGACTGTGTTGAACCCAACGACAGAAGGATGCAGATGAGCCCTGAAGCCTTGGTGACAAAGGACATGGTCTCTGATTGGGAAAAAAACAGTGAAGATCACTGTAGGGTTTCATCGGATGGTTCCAGGCCAATGAGTCCAACTCCAACTATAGGCAGTGACCGGATTAGCATGGAGTCTGTGAGTTACTCCCAAGTCACGTCTGATTCTATTAGGATACATGCACAGACTCTGAGTACTGAGGCCGAACAACAGGTACATCCTGAGATTGACAAAGGGTTGAGTGATGGTGAATCCAGTGGACATTTAGAGACAGCAGAGAGCCAGTGCAAGCACAACGAGGATTGTGACACTGCACTCAGACTACATGAACCGGAACACAGTTCAGTGGAAGTGCCCGAAATACAGGGAACTGACCAAGCAATGGATGGAACTAGCCAAGACGTGGTTGAGCTCCACAAAGATGAGCTCCACAAAGTGCCACCAGAAGCACTGAGTAAAGGTACACGACACTTTCATGCATCTATCAATCTGTTACTAAAATCAAAGCAGGAGTCCTGTAGGGTATTGGTTGGAGCACTCGCCTCGCAAGGGAAACAACCTGGGTTTCATTCCCAGGCAGGGCAAAATGCTAGGCAAGTGTTCTTACTCCACACGCCTATGTTTACCTAGCAGTGAGTAGGAACCTGACTGTTAGTCCCTAATTCCCTAAAATAAATGTAATAATGATTTGTTCACTCAATCCATGACAATTGGCTGCTGCGTTTTGCCCACAAAATACACCGTCAATTCACTTTACGGTATATTCTGTGAACCGCTTTGAGATATCTCAAAGACATGATAAGGCACTATATCAAATGCAAGGATTATTATTATATTAAAGCAAAATTCTTCATTTCGAATTCGCTAACTCCTCGAAAGCTGCTACGTGATATTGGACATTGAACGTTTTTAGTGTATGTTAAATTCAATGCTCCTAATTTAGAGAATGGTTGTTCAAAATGTTAGTGAAATTATGCTGTACTGATCTCGGTAGGTCTTACTGTCAGCTGTGTGAACTCATGATTGAACTTTCTTAGGATAGAGAAGATTTGACCCAATGGGCCAAGGATATTTCAATGAAGGTATTAAATGAGGGTCAGATAGAAACTTGGGAAATAAGGGTATTAAGAGAAATGGAGAAAATGCAGCAAAATGGGATTGAAAAAAGTTTATTGATCCAATAAACTGGCAGAGCTGGCTTGATGGGCTGAATGATCTCCTCCTGTACCTATGTTCCTAATTAACCAGAAATGGTTCAGTCACAAACAAACTGACTCTGCACATGCCTTGTTGTCTAATGTCTATCAGGCCGCCCTAGCATGTCAAGGGAAGAAGAAAAACTTACATTTATATAGAGCCCTTCACTCGTGGTAGTGTCTTGTAGCACTTAACAACAACAAAATTATATTTGTATAGTGCTTTTCATGTCAGGAGGATGTCCCAAGGTGCTGGACAATCAGTGTTTCAGACCCAAGGTCGGGGAGAGTGGAGGGCAGGGGGGAAGGAGGGTGATCGAAGGCATGGTCGAAGAGGAAGGTCTTGAGACGGGCCTTGAAGGAGGCAAGGGAGGGGGCGAGGTGGAGGGACAGCGGGATGCAGTTCCAGAGGGTGGGGGCAGAGTGATTGAAGGCCAGCCCACCATTGGTGTAGTTTGGCAGAAATCTGGGGAGAAAGGGGAGGTGACAGTAGATACGGTCAAAGAGGAAAGTCTTCAGAAGGGATCTGAAGATGGGCAAAAGACGGAGCAAGGCGGAGGGATTGAGACAGGGTATTCTAGAGGGTTGGGACACAGTGGCTGAAAGCGTAGCTGGCGATGGTGGAGCGGAGGGATCGAGGGATGTGTAGAAAGCCCGAGCCGGCTGAACAAAGGGGAATAGGTTGCATGGGTGTAAGCGGGACGGAGAGGTAGGGAGGTGCCAAGAAATAATAATACATTTGGGAAAACATCATATTCCTGTTTTCCCAAACATTTAACTATTTATATGATATTAATGTTTCACTGAAACATCATCACGCCAGGATGATTTTTACCCGTCTATACTAAAATGCGACAACGATGCCTGAATATTTGATGAATGTTGAACGTGCTCCCTGAAGCCGACTTAAGGTACATAACTACCACAAAAATCTACTCACAAGTTAAAAATAAATGTTGTTTCCGTAGTGATGGAATCCCTGTATGTTTTGCTGTTTAGTGTTTTAGTAACAACATGCAAGGATTATTTGCGGTTAAGCAGAAATTGGTAAAAATGTCTTAGTTCCGTTTTGTGCTAACCCCCAGAAAATTCAAGTCAACCTATACTCGAGCTCCCTGGAAATAATGAACAAGTCTCTCAACCACAGCAATCCCCATTGCCACGAGAACAAGATAACGTCTTCTGTAACCTTAGTATCCCTCTTGGTAAGTTATGTCACAACACCTCACCCTCTCCATCACATTTAACGTTCAATCTTTTATTACAATCGTGCTCAGATCAAAATACACTTCTTGAGTTATTTACAGTTACCCGCAACTTACTGCAGTGCTGGAGAAACCTGTGGCTAAGCAAGCACCCTCTCCATAAAACCATTTTGGAGCTTGATTAAAAACATATCATAAAAAGTGACATCTTTATAGAGTGAAGCACATGTTTTAGAGAAAGGGTTTTATAGAGTCGTAAAAATATCTGAGTGTAACATTAGAACGCACAGTTTTATAAGTCTTACTGAAGTGGTATTTATCTTAGTCTTTGCTCAGCAGTGTTATGATGTAAAGGGTTCCTAATAGTCTTTAAACGTTTACACAACATGGTCTCCAGAATACAAGATTTTTAATTGGATTCTCTATTTCTTACTGTGAAATTCCTTCCGACTGTATTGAGGTTCCCTGGAGGAAATGTATTGAGATACCTTTTTTTTCCCCCATTGCCCACCCTTTCCCCATCCTATCTTTCTGACCTACTCAAACCTTATCGACCAGGCCATTCCCTTCCTTCAGTTTGATACTGCCAGAGACTTGCACTGAATTTTCCTGCGTTAACATTTTGACGCACAATTTTTTCTGTGATCATCGTCCAAGTTCCTTTTACTCAACAACAACAACAACAACAACTTGGGTACATATAAACCGCTTTCACACAGAGTAATGTCCCGGGGAGCTTTACAGTGACTTATCTGAGATAGGGAGAGTTGAGAAGGCAGCACTCAGGTATGCAGGGAAAGTATATGTGTCAGAATTTTGGCAACAGAGGGGAAAAGAAATTTTGGTCACTCAATCCACGACTATTTGTGGGACACTGCTGTACGCAATTGGCTGCCGCAATTTGCTCACCAACTATACAGTCGATTCACTTTACAGTATATTCGAAGACGTGATGAGGCGCTATAACAAATGCAAGGATTACTATCACATAATTTTATTCCCAACTCCTCTCACTTTTCAGGTGTAGAATTTGTGGAGCCGAGAACAGGATTCTATTGCAAGCTTTGTGGCATCTTTTACATCACTGAGGAGGCAGCAAAGACCAGCCATTGCAGAAGTACCATACACTATAAGAATCTACAGGTGAGTGAGCTCCTTGCAATCCTCAGACGTTCTCTCTCTATTTTCTTAATAGCGAAAATAGAGAATATTTTTCTCAATAGAGAGGATCCTCTCACTCGTTTTCAAATCCCTTCATGCCCTTGCACCTCCCTACCTCTACAACCTGCTTACACCCAACTCCCTGCTGCCTCTGCTCGGCTGGCTCCAGTCTCCTCGTCCCCTCTGCTCCACCATCGGTGACCCTGCCTTTGACCACTACGCCCCAAAGCTCTGGAACTCTCTCCCTCAATCCCTCCGCCTTCAAATCCCACTTGAAGACCTTTCCTTTTGATTGTGTTTACGGTCACCTCCCTCCTCCCTCTCCCCCTGGCTCGGCATCAGACTCCACCATTTTCAAGTGCTCCAGGACACTAACCTTTTGTGAAGGGTGCTAGATAAATTCAAGTGAAAGGCCCTTTGCAAATATAATTTTGTTGTTGTTGTAAATGCAAGTTGCTTATCTTCAAACCGTTTTCCTGTAAACTGGACATTGTGGGGCTGTTTCTGCAAAGACATCAGGGAACGTTTAAGAGGTTTTCAAGCATGACAGAACATTCCTCCTCAGGACATAATGAAAGAAGCATTAATACAAATCCCAGTTCACTGCTTCCAACATTGTGAATAGTCCTTAATGTGGGGAAATCCTCTCCAATAATAGTTTATAAGCTCCTGTCTCATTCCATGCACTTTGAAATGCTTTTCTCAGTGCTGTGATAACCCTTCCATTAGTCTCTTGGATTGCCACCAACACCAGATTACATCAGAGAAAATTGGACAAGATTAATGGACAGCTTTATGCAGTATCAAATCTTCACCAATGAAACTAAGAAACAACACATGGTACAAAGGAAAGTCTTTGGGGCATTTCAGTTCTGCAGTTCAAAGAATAAGCTTCAAAGAAAATAAATTCTTGGGACAAATACCCAGTGAAGCGCTTACAAGTGAAGCAGACAGTTTTGTGTCTAAGATTTAAAGTGGGGGATATAATTTCTTTGATTGTAAGCCATTATATAATGGAATGTAAAAGCAAGGAGGTGACAGTTTTTACAGAGGGCTGCTCATACCTTATTTGGAGGAGGTTAAAGGAGGTTACTGGGTTACTTGATTGAGGTGTTTAAAAGAATGAAAAAAGTTGACAAATTGGATTGTGACAACTCTTCCCTCTGTTAGAGGATCCATTACAAAGCGGGGTAGACTTAAAATCAGAACCAAGAGTTAGAAACGTGAACCTATTTCTTCACTCAGAGGGCTGTGAAGTTGTCAAATGCTCTGCAGAAAGCTGTAGAGGTGGAATCAACAGAGATACTGTATGTAAAAGAGAGGTAGCCAAACATTTGTGTGATAGGGTTGGGCCTTCAGCCTCTCTGCTTCAAACCCTTTGGAACTCCATCCCCCAGTCCCTTCACCTCACTCCCTCCCTTGCCTCCTTCAAGGCAAGTCTCAAGATCCTCCTCTTCGACCGCACCTTCGGCCACACTCTTACTCCAACCCTCCCTGCCCTCCACCCCTCCTAATCCCAACCCCCAGCCCGCGTCCAAATCCCTAACTATCCTCCCAATGTGCAAGGCACTAAAGAAATGTAATTCGTTGTTGTATTAAGGTGGTATGGTTAAAGGGTAGGGCATTGGAATTAAAAGATCTGCCAAGATATATTAACTGGTAAAATAGGCTCAATGAGCTAAAGTCCTGTTCTAGTTTCCTATGTTCATGCTGAATGAGATAGCTATGTATATTTTGGCTCAGATAGTTTACATGGGCAATGTGCCAGAGGGGGTGGAATTCCAGTTGTGTTGTTCTCAAGGTTGAATTCATGTGCTTGATTCATAGTCTAAAGAAAAGGTTATCTTGAATCACATGTGGGTAGTGGTTTGCTTATCAATGCCTAATGCTGGTTCTGTTACTATGGAGGTTGGAAATGAGGGATGAAGTCCTTTTCTATTGAAGTCCCATGGAGTCTGTTAGGGTGGTGGTTAGCGAGCTCGCCTCGCTAGCAAGAGGTCCCTGGTTTGATTTCCAACAGGGCCAAACCTTTGTCAAGTTTCCTTACTCCACATGCCTCTGTTTACCTCGTAGGAATTTACTGCTAGGTTAGCTGATTGGCAAATCGCTTTCCGCGGGTAATAATAAAAAATAATTTAGTCACTTAATCCACAACTGTTTGTCGCCTCACCCTCTTGCCTCCTTCAAGGCTTGTCTCAAGACACTCCTCTCCGACTACGCCTTCGGCCAGCCTCCTACCCCTTCCCTCCCTGCCCTCCACCCCTCTCGATCCCAAGCCCCTGTTCGGGTCCAAATTCCTGACCGGCCTGCACCTTGGAACCTCCACCCGACGTGAAAGCGCTATACAAATGTAATTTGCTGTTGTTATATTGGATATTGTGTACATGTTTAGTCTCCGAGATTTGAACGCGCAGTGGAGAGAGAGATACTTCACACCTTCTTTCTATTTAACTCAGACAAACACCAGAATCTTTTGATCGGTCTGTAAAGACGTTTCTCAAAACACCGTTTGTCAAATTGTGTTGCCGCGTTTTGCCCACAAATGATACAGTCGATTCAGTTTTTTGGTATATTCCGTGAAGCGCTTTGAGACTTCCCGAAGATGTGATAAGATAGCGTATCAAATGCAAGGATAATTATTGGATTATTAATTCCTGCCGGTGTAACTGGACATGAAAGCATTTTTAAAAACAGGCACACGTCTCCCGAAAGTGCGGCATGAGTCAAAGCGGCTTGAGTTTCAGTTGTAGATGTTCAGCAGATGCTCAAATGTCAAGCAGCAAAGCCGTCGGCTGGAGTGGTTATTATTGATCAGGGACCCATGAGATCAGCAGCAAGCAGGTTTTGTAATCTCAGACCGTTAGCTGACAGGGGAAGATGCTCGCGCATGTAACTGCAACCCGTTTTAGCAAAGGAAAGCAAATGAGAGCATGACTGGGTAACACAAGTACTTAGCTGTCTGGCTCCCTTCCAGATATGGAGTCCTGTAGCTTAGTGGTCAGAGCATTCGCCTCTCCTCGAAGGGTTGTCCATTGGTCCTTCCTGGAATTGCTCACCTGTGGGCATTGGATGAGGCCAGAGCTTGATTCAGATCTGATGGTACTGATGATCAAATAATAATAATCGTGATGATGACGTGCTAAAGCGTTCATTATCCATCCATGCTCAACTTAAAGAATCAAGGAGAGTTTACAGTCCAGCGGGAGGCCGTTAAGGAACGTTATGAATGGGCCACCGGCACAGACGCTGCTGTGTGCAATAGGCTGCCACTATTCGTGCACAAAATATACACTCAATTCACTTTATAGTATATTCTGTGAAGCGCTTTGAGACGTCTCGAAGACGTGATAAGGCGCTGTATCAAACGCAAGGATTATTATTATTGGTGATGTGACAAGATGCTGAATAACTGGGGAGGTATTAAAACAACAACGACAACTTGCATTCATATAGCGCCCCTCACGTAGGGTAGCGTCCCAGAGCACTTGAATAGGTGAACATAGGTGGTCTTACACTTGAGACACGAGAGAAATTCAAGGCCATTGAATGTTCTTCGAGTCTGAGACACCGAGCTAAGTTTTCAGAGGGTTTGGAATATTCAGCTCGTTTCGTAATGCAATTGGCACTCCGGCAGGCACTGGTTCCAGTCTCTGCAAATCCCTGGCGAGCTAATACATCCAGACTCTAAATGAAACAGCAGAGCACTTTGAAATGATTGAAGAGGTATAGGTTTCCTCATTAAATTGGGAATGTGTTAGTTATGGTCAGGCCATAGAAAATAGCTGACAGAATTCCAATTTTCACATAGATGGGTAACTAGCTGACATTTATTTGGGAACCGTCCAGTAGACAAAGTATTAAACCAGTTGGTGTGTGTGTCGTATTGAATATCTCGCTGGTTAGCTCCCAAAGGCTTTACGCTAACATAAGCAATGGGTCGGATGAAGTGCTGAAGTCCACTGAGAGCAAAGGACTGCAGGAGAGGGAGGAATGCTGACTGTAACATCTCCTCCAGTTGCTGGACTCCAGGAGAATGCTAAACAACACTGGGTTTGACCATATGTTGGTCAAATTTGGATGTGTTAAAGGTGCCTTAATGAAGACAATCCAGCACATCTAGAAGTGCATCCACTTGACTCCAAAAGAGGAGGCAGCTGTTTGGAACCCCAGGGCTATATTAGCGCACTCAGTTTTGTTTAGTTCATCAGCATGGCAGAGAGGTAACTCTTCCAGCCTCTGGGTCAGAAGTGTGGGTCCTCACAAGACCACAAGGTTGGCTTGGATGAAGAAGGCCCTTCAGCCCATCCGATCTCATTCTTCTAGAGCACCCACTCTACTCTCCCCCCACCACCCAATCGCAGCATCAAATCCCAGTGTCCTGGCCTCTACCATATTTCCTAGAGACCTGTTCTAGTCGTTGATTACCCACTAAGCAAAAACCTGGCCATCTGTATCTCAATTTGCACCAAATACTAAACAAACATGGCTCAAGTTTATTCCAAAGGATTATTTTACTGGCAGATGTAACAAATTGAGCAAGTAATGCAAGGCCATCGCCGACAAGATTAGTGAATAGTAATTTGAGAGGGACTGTGAATTTAACAATAACACTTCAGGTATACAGTATATGTGAAATCTATGTGATGACTAGGGTGTTAATTTTAATAATTGAGCCATTAAACAATAATCAACTCTCGGCAATCGATCCACTCCCATTTTAGTTTCCAAATATTCGTTGAGATACAGTTAATAATAATAATAATCCCTGCATTTGATATGGCGCCTTATCATGTCTTTGAGATGTCTCAAAGCGCTTCACAGAATACACTGTAAAGTACAGTGACTGTGTATTTTGTGGGCGAAACGCGGTTGCCAATTACGCACAGCAGTGTCCCACAAACAGCCGTGGATTGGGTGACCACATTTTTTTTTTTTTTTTTTTGAAAGGATTATTACCCCAGGAAAAGTGATCCGCTAATCGACTAACAACTGGGTTCCTATTTACTGCTAGGTAAACAGTATTGTGAGAGAGTATTGCTTTGTGTTCAATCCTAGCTCATACTTAACAGCGGCGAATTGTGCTCTTATTGCAGAGATACCTTTCCCAGCTCGGAGAAGATAGTTTGAGGGAAGGGCAAGGAGACAGGAATCCTGGAAGGGAAGAGGAAGTCGGGATTGTTCCGCAATTTGAGAGTAAAAGGTCAAGTCCACCCTGAAACCACCACGCGGATGGAGAAGAGCCTTCAGAGCATCTAACACCAGGGAAACCTGTGGATCCTGAGACGAATTCTAAAGAAGTGCTCCAGGGGATTATGTACCACATCAGGAAGGACTGAGGAAAGGGTGACAGAGAGCGCCAGGCTACCTACCCTCTGTAGCAGGAGTACATCAGAACGATGTGTGAAGAAGCCACACACCATTCCCTTCACCAGGTCAAACATAATTCAGGGACATTCTACGTTTGCAATCACCATTGAGATTGCGGTTAAACTTGCTTGCTGGTTTGATGAAATCATTTGACTTGGACCAGTCCAGATGGATAATTAATTAATTTATGTCTGGGTAATGTATTGCTTAATTTAAGAGCGGGATATGGATTTTGTTTTCAGTTTGTCGGGCACCTGTACAATTGTGAAAAGCCGCGAAAATTCTCACTTGAAAGTACAGTAATATAGAGGTGTAACTTTACAGTGTTAGTTGGAAAGTGGTGCTGCAAACAGAGATGAATTTAATAAACATTTTATTTGAAGATTTAAGGAAATTGGTGGCAACTCTTGTACTTCGCGGACACTCGCTCAGGTCAGGTAAACCGACTGTTCTCCACAATGATCTACTCTTGCTAATCTCTCGCCTTCATGGCCCTCCACGACCTTGCTCCTTCCTACCTATGGACCTGCTAATCCTAAACCTGTCCACTCCCTCTGTGAAGACATGATAAAGTGCTATATAATAATAACAATAATAATCCTAGGCTGCATTTTCAGATTGCAACTACTTATACTGCAGGTGTTTAAATACTAATAAACCTGGCATTCGATATAGCACTTTATCTTATCGTTTAGACGTCTCAAAGCGCTTCACAGAATATACTGTAAAGTGAATTGACTTTATATTTTGTGAGCAGCCAATTGCGCACAGTAGTGTCCCAACAAACAGTCGTGGATTGACTGACTAATTTATTATTATTTTGTTTTTGCAGGAATTATTACCCCAGAAAGAGTGATCCGCCAATCGACTAACAACCGGGTTCCTACTTACTGCTAGGTAAACAGAGGCGTGTGGAGGAAGGAAACTTGCCCAATGTTTCACCCTACCGGGAATCGAACCCGGGTCTCTCGCTTGCGGGTCAAGTGCTCTAACCACTGAGCTACAGGACTCCACAAATATCAATTGCAAGGATTGTTGTTATATTATTATAGGTGGGGAATCGAGGTACGGGACTTCTGAATTGATTTCAGGGGAATTCTGTGTTCAGTTTAAACAATATGCGCAAGGTGCACTATAACCATAGAGTAAAATAAAATCAGCCATCATCAGACAAAATCAGAAATTCTGCCACCAATTTCCTTTCACTAATGCCTATTTTACTGTAATCCCTGATGTACAGTACTGAAATTCTTTGTAAATCACATGGTTGCGGTTAGGTCAGATAGTGTGTTCCAGGCACCTCTAGGTGAGATAGTATGTTCCCGGCACCTCTAAGCACGCTGATAAAATCCTGTCCTCATCAGACTTTGCCCCGAGACAGATTCATAAAATCTACCCTTCACTCACCGCGGCCCTCGCTGGTCCTGGCTGCACTATTAACCCATTGAAAGATCGAAGCATAATTTTCCTGGGGCCCATGTACTTATCCCCACGTATACGGCAGTTTCTTGTGTTTTTGCGGAGAACTATCTCGGAGAGAGCTGGCGTCCGCGCAGGACAAATAACCAGAGTAAAATATAGTCCATTGCCCAGTTTCAGAAGCAGGAATGGAAAGAGTTGAGCAGATATTTGGTTTTGGACTCTGACTTGCAATTTGGTAACGATCTCCATCGAGATGTTTTTAAAGGGAAATAATAACAATAATAATCCTTGCATTTGATATAGTGCGTTTTCGAGACGTTTCAAAACGCTTCGCAAAACACTTGTGTATTTTGTGAAACTAAGTCTGTGTGTTTACAGCTCTTGCAGTTTTAATAGTAAATATGCCCACTTAGTAAGTTCCAATGGAAGCTTTTATTTATTTTTTTATTTTTTGCAGCAACAACAGAACGTGCAATGTATTATAGTTCTTCCTCTCTTCACCCTCCCTCAAGGTGAATTGATATATTGATTTATATATCTTAGGATATATATTGTAGGCGAAATGTGGCAGCCAATTGCACACAGCATTGTCCCACAAACATTCATGGATTAAGTGACCAAATTATTATTATTAAGGTTGCGTGCTCTAAGGGAGTGAAGATGTTACTGAATATAGAATGAAATCGTCAACAGAAGAGTTGGATGTTCTAAGGAGTGTGCTATCATTCAAAGAGACTTAAGAGTAACAACTTGCACTTATATAGTGTTTTTGACATAGGATGACCAACTCAAAGCACCTTAATAATAATAATAATCCTTGCATTGGATACAGCGCCTTGTCATGTTGTTGAGATGTCTCAAAGCACTTCACAGAATATACTGTTAATTGATTTTGTCAATTTTGTGGGCGAAATGCAGCAGCTAATTACACACAAACAGTCGTAAATTCAGTGACCAAACTTTATTGGGGGAGGGGGGGGGGAGGATTTATTACCCCCCAGAAAGCGATCTGCCAATCGACTAACAAACTGGTTCCTACTTACTGCTCGGTAAACAGCCGTGTAGAGTAAGGAATCTTGCCTAAGGTTTCACCTCGCCCAGGAATCAAACCCAATAATCCTCTTGCTTGTGAGGTGAATGCTCTAACCACTACACTCCAGGACTCCACAATGCCAAGAAGATCCACGACAGATAGAACATAATACTGAAAAACGTAGACACAGACTTTAACAGACTTCTACTGTTGCACAAAAGTGCAATCCTTAAGATCTATCCACTCCTCTAAGTTAAATATTAAGTTGTAATTTGGTTCTTAGCACAATTGGGTGGCTATATTATCAAAATTCTCTTTGATAATATAGCCACACAATTGCTCATGATACTGATAAGTGGGCAATCAATTCTCTATTTTTATAGTACTGGGGCGAGGAGGGGAGAGTGGGAGTACTTTCAAGGTAACAATTTTATCCTCCCTTCGGATAGATAAATAAATTTAAAAAAATAATCATTTGGTCACTCAATCCACCACTGTTTGTGGGACACTGTTGTGCGCAATTGGCTGCCAAGCTTCGCCCACAAAATGTACAGTCAATTTACTTTACAGTATATTCTGTGAAGCAATTTGAAACTTCTCGAAGAGGTGATAAGGCGCTACATCAAATGCAAGGATTATTAGGGTGGACAGATGCTGGGTGGTCCCTTTCTATCATGGCCACTCTACATTCTTATGTAGTTTTGCTAGGGACTGTTCATTTTAAGACTCTCGTTTGCGAAAAGCATCCGGATGACAATAAAGTACCAAAATATCAAATGCAGTGGTTTGAGGTCTGAAGTTTCAATCTTTTGGTTTCAATTCCTCTCAACACTGCTGAGCTGCAATGTTCAAAAACTTTTGGAATTGTGATCATTGTAATGCAGAGTAGACTGAAAGTTGTGAGAGCAATCAATTTTTGCTGGTTTTTTCAAAGCAAAATCTGACATTTACGTACATTTCACTGGAGGCACACTTGATATTATTTTTATTATAATAATCCATGGATTTGATATAGCGCCTCATCACATCTTCGAGACGTCTCTTAGCGCTTCACAGAATATACTGTAAAGTGAATTGACTGTATATTTTGTAGGCAAAACATGACAGCCAACTGTGCACAGCAGTGTCCTACAAACAGTCGTGGATTGAGTGACCAAATTATTATTTTTATATTTTAATTTATTTTTTGAAGTGATTATTACCCCAGAAAAGCAAACCGCCAATCAACGAACAACCATGTTTCTATTTAATATTAATATTAGGTTAGAAGCCAAAAAGCCTACACATTGTTGGTGTATTAATTTCATGATCACAAGAATCACAAAAGAAGTTTAGCTGAAGCAGGCCCTTTGGCCCATTTGATCTCTTCCTGCCAGAATACCTTTATGGTTGGTCAACAAGATACATTTTCTTGATTGTATATTTCCTGATTTATGCCATATTAGGCAAACATATTGAACTAAGAAAAGACTGAAACCACCACTAATGATCAACCACGGACTTATCTCGACTTGTGCAAAGATTCGGGGGGCATTTTCGGCCCGTGGGCCACTGTTTGGCCACGATTGTTCTAGCCTCAATGACTCTTTTCGGCCCTGTGGATAAATAAATACTCCCTGTTGCCTTTCCTTAAATTGTCCTTTGCAACCCTGAACCTTGTTTTCTTGCAGTTGGAACCACAATGCTCTTTATAGACTTTATAGACTAATGTTAGCACTATTCCACTCTTGTCTTGCAATTAGAAGCCAAGAATTATATCCTAGCTACCATGCACCTTTTGGGTCTTGCTGCTTTGAAACCTTCATCTTATGCAAAAGCACAATAGAAGTTTTATTTGTAGGCCTTTTTTGAATGATGGCACACTCCGCAGAACATTCACCATCTGACGTTTTTGCTGATGAATTCACTCTACATTCACTACGTTCTTTAGAATTTAACACCCTCAGAGCACACAACAGTTCAAAATATTTTTCTCTTTAAAAATGTTTCCAAAGAACATTATTAAACAAAGTGCTTTGTAAATTCAACAATAATAAATAATCCTTGTTTTTGATACAGCACCTTTCATATTGAGAGGATGTCTCAAAGCCATTCACAAGGTGTAAAATATTGTCACTGTGTACTTTGTATACGGATAGGACAGGCAGCCAATTTGTGCACAGGAACATCCCATAAACATCCATGAAGCGAATTTTATCTGAGGATTGTTGTAGGAAATAAAGTAAATCAGCGATGCAACACAAAACCAAACTCAAAACTTTCTATTTCTGTCCCACCTTCTGATAGTCAGAAAGGAGCTATGTTATCTGCCTATATAATGAACTGATATAACCGAGGTAACACATTGATAGCTTGACAGGGTTTCCTTGTTATTTTATCACAGTGACATGACTGCAATTACTTTCAACTGCTGCTGACTAGTCAAACTGAAACTTGCCCAGACATGAAAGACTAATCCTGTAGCAATGTTCAAGCACACACTATGATAACCATATAATAAAATGTAATTGTAAAATGCTGAGTTAATTATGAAAGTATCATATTGCCCTTGATGTTTGTTTATTTCCACAAATTATCAGTGCAAACAGCCTTCCCATACTCTACCTCTCTTGTAAACAATGTGTTGCACAATGAGGTTTAAACTGAACTTTCAGAAGATAATTACAGGAATGTAATTTGTTTGAAACTCAATGACTGGTAATGGTAATCCTTTAATGAAAATAAGGTCACTACATAAGCCAAGTGATGGAAGTATATATTAGTGCACACACATAAGAGTAAAACATTCAACGCTGTGTCGTTTTTTAATCAGTCAATGAGAATGACTTTTACTGGATCTTGAGGTTTATGCATTAAGAGTTTGAGTTGCCACCTTTGAAGTGTTCGATCATTGTGCATCAAAATGCTCCCAAACAGCAAACCATAGTTTTAGTTGGTGAAACGCCAGCTGTTACCTCCAATGTAATCAATACAGTCAATCCACTTTACAATGTATTCTTTGGGTTTCACCAGGAGTGACAAGATGCCTATTAGGCCAAGGTAAGGTGGCAGTGCTGCATCCTCCTGGGGGGTAGGTAAGCAGGGTCTCCTTGGAGCTGAACTGGCTTCAAGCTGACATGCCTGGCAATGGAATGTCGGAATTGAGCCGGGCCTCTGTGGTGGTCCCTAGTCCGGTTCCTGAGCCAGGTGGGTCCACAGTATTCCAGGGCACTGCTCGTGACAGCACAGCCCAGCCTGGCTCATCGGTTGGACCTGGAAGGGCAGACCAGTCAATGGGGGGGGGGGGCAGGGAGGAGCCAACCCACTCAGCTCCTGTTAACCCTGCCAGCCAAAGCCCTAGCGGGTAGGGCGGGTCCCAGCTGGTACACGCCGCGGGAAAGCTTGCCCTCAATGGCAAGCTACGGGGTTTTAGCCGGTTAAGACTCCAGCGGTTACCCCAACCCCACATTGGGGGCTGGGGTCTCTCCCTCCCCCAATCCCCCCCCGTAAGCCTTGGCTCTTGCCAACCCGCGGTCTTAATACCGCCTGGAATTGGGTCAGCGGGAGGCGTCCCTCCCTCTACGGGGAGAGAGAGGGAGAGAGCGTGGGGGGCGCTTTCCGTTCCAACGCTCCACCTCTGGGATTGCCACGTGCAGGTGGGATGAAGGGAAACCTGGGGGGGAGAGGGGGGGGAGTGGGGGGGGGTTTGGAGACTGTTCCACGTGGTGGGTGATGGGTTTCCGCGTACGTCATCGCGCGTCCAGCTGGGCAAGCAACAATGTATCCGCCTCCAGGGCGCCGGCGTCTCCCGATTGGAGGGGAGGGCGAGGTGGGCGGGGCGAGCGGGCGGGAGTGGGGGGGGGGGCGGAAAGGACCCGCCGGCCAATGGTGAGCCCTGTTGCTACCCACGTGAGGGGCGAGCGCGACGTCGACGTCACGGGCCGAGAAGCGCCGGGCGGGCGTGGTGTGGGAGAGGAGGCGGAGGGTGGGGGGGGGGGGTTGACCCAACTCACGTGACAGGGCCGGGCGTCGAGTCGACAAGCAGAGCCACGGGCAGAGGGAGTGCGCGTGCGCGCGAGCGGCGGGGGCGGGGGGGGGGGAGGGAGATCCCACGTGACGAGGGCGAGCAGTGGGAGCGGGCGAGGTGGCTGCCCACGTGACACGGGGCGGGCGGCTGAGGGCGGGACGCGAGGGAGGGAGGAGGGAGGGAGGGAAAAGCGGTTGGCGGCCACGTGACAAGGGTGAGCTGGGATTACTCACGTGACGGGGGGGGGGGCGGGCGGGAAGGAGAGCGACAGAGAGAGAGAGAGAGAGAGACACAAACAGTCAGAACCGACGTTGGCGGCGGCGGCGGCGGCTTCAGCTCCTCGGATCCTTGCGACGCAACAACAGGGGGCGGCAGCCTCAGCCTCAGCGCCAACCGGGGCCAAACAACAACAACAACAACAACACACTCTTTGTTTGCTCGGCTTTCTTTTCTGACCCTCCAAAAAAAAACAACAACAACAACAACAACAAAAAACCGACCCCCCCCCCCCCCACCGCGATAATTAGCCGCGCGGAGAGCAGCCGCTCACAGTTGTGCGTCGACGAATTTCCCTGTGAGGGGAGAAGAGGGGAGACGAGGCCCCGGGGCCCACCGGGGGGTTGTAGGCTTCGCTCTTGACCCCTTTCTAGGCCTCATCATACACACACATACACCCACACACACATACACACACACTCCCACACACACACACACACACATACACCCACACCCACACATACACACATACACCCACACACACACTACACCCCACCCCACACATCCCACACACACCATACACACACTCCCACACACACCACCACACCAACACACACACTCCCACACACACACACACACCACACACACATCCCACACATACACCCACACACACACTCACTCCCACACCCACACACATCCCACACATACACCCACACACATACACACACCACACACACATACACACACCAAACACACATACACACATACACCCACACACACACTCCCACACACATCCCACACATACACCCACACACACACTCACCCCCACACACCACTCCCACACACCACCACACAGACACACGCACCACCCCCACACACCTCCAGCCCCCCCCACACACACCCAACACCCCCTCCCCCCCCCCACACACACACCCTCACACACAC